TAATATAGGCAATTTTTTCATATACTTTTTCAATTATTTACTTGATAAAACAGCATTCCTTTTTATTCCTCAATCATTTTCCGTATCAGGCAATTCTTTTTCATTTTGTTTTGATTATGTAAGTTACGATTTTGTTATAGTATTTAATATTATACTAATTTTGAATTTTTATAGTACTGAATTAGGAAACTGTAAGATGCTTCTCTGGTACACGTATGTTTGAATGTGTATCAAGGACAACAAAAGCAATGTTAATAGAGATCCCTTTATAGTTTCTATAACTTGAAATACATTTATATTTTATATCGTTGCATGCCTTATTTTTGCATTTGCTTGTCTCTATCTTCTAGTTGCATTGCTAGTTGAAGGAATCAAATTTTATCCTTCATATTCCCAAACTGATCTTCAGTCTCCGTTTTTCTAGGTACTATTTCAATTATCCATAATCAACACATAAAAACAATTTTAAATAAAATATAACTTACTTGCTTCAAGATCAAACATCATAATAAGAATCTCAGATTCGTCTGAAATACGAGTAATATGATCAGATAGCATCCAACTATTTTGCCTTTTTTACTTTACCTTTTAAAAATGATTGACACTTCTTTGGTTTGGTTCCTGTAACACTGTTTTAAAGCTTGATGATTTTAATATGGTATAGAGTTTTTTCAGACTGTAGGAGTTCCACAACAGCACCGATAGCATTCAGCCTAATAAATTAACAAGGTAGAGTTAGGGAAAAATCCCAAAACAGAAAACATTTTAATTAATGAACATAATGGAAAAGATTGGTGCCTATCCTTTGTCTGTACCTAAATAACTCCTTCTCTGTTTGTGTATTGGCACACAAAATTGCTTTTGCTATTTTTAACTAAGGTCGTTGGACATCACAGTACCAAAAATAAATTGAAATAAGCAAGTAAGTTCTTCTGATACTATCTACAAGGCCATACATGTTACTTTACCTCATCTCCTGCTACATCGCTCTCATTGTTCTCAGTCCATTCATTCTAATCACTTATTTTGAATTCTGGCTACTTTCTAGTTATGTATGCAAAAATTTCAATGATTCTTTTGTAGTTCAAGTAATCTTCATTAAATGTGAATTAACGTGCATAAGGAAATGGGATACTGGATGGTAGATTGTTCTAACGTATGAACCTATGTATGTTTAGGGAAACTTATACGAGTAGACAATCTGTGGCGTGAATGCCTGTTCTAAAAATGCAGTTCTTTTTAACACAGCAATTTGATACTTCAAATACGTGTCCAAGGGGAATTAGGATTGCACATTGGCTATTCAGGATGAAAGTTGTTTTAGGTGAAGTAGAAGGCCGAGAAAAGTAAATGATAAGGAGACTGAGGTGAGAAATGGATTTAGTTTATGACAACTAAATTTAGGTATCTAAATGGAGATGTCTGCAGTGACTTAAGCATCTTACTTTGCTTTATAGTCAACAGCAGCCTAGTCAATATGGGTAGTGTTGTTACAACGCGATTTGGCTGACACACCAATAGGTGTCCACTTCTGAATGAGTTGAATCACTTTCCAAGCTACACTGTCTGTAATGGAAAATTAGATTCCCAGCTCATGTGTAGATACTTAAGTTTAGACACACAAATTTAGGTGTTATAAGCTTGAGTTAAATCCCACTTAATGTGTCACACAGCTCATTACTTTGTTTTTTGGCATTTGTGCTGGTAGGCAGAGCAGGTTAACATCCTTAACAAAAATTCATCACGTTTCTGTGGAGAGGCCTTCAAAATATTTAATAATAGAGTATAGCCCTGATACTTGTTTGTATGGGTGACACTCACTGTACATAAACAGTGTTTTCGTGCCAGCTGCATACTTTAATTTTTTCCTTGTTTCATCTTAACTCACCTTTTCTTGCTAACTGCATTGTTTTCCATGTATCTGTACTGCCACATCCCCACAGAATATTGTGTAAGCGAGGAGTGGGTGCTTGTGTTGCCAAAGTTTGGGACAATGAAACCGAAGCTGTAAAGCCAGCACAGAGAGGAGCTGGGTGAATCCAGAGGTGTTAGTACTCATAGTCCTCCCAAGAAGGATTGCTGTCTGGCTCTCAAAGCCAAAGCCCTCAGACCTGGAAGCCTCAACACAGTGACACACAGTTTGCGTAGCATGGCTTGCTTATACGTCCAGGAGCCAGCGTGGCAAGGACCAAATACCTCCACAGAGAAACTGGGACATGCAGAGCTTTTGCAATACTGTTTCTACAGTGCACTGAGTAACTGAAGGGAATATTGTAAGTAAACAATTTGCATAGCTCTGCCTGGACATAGGACCATGGACATGATACAGTAGAAACGTATAAAAATTTTAACCATCCATTTCTCTTCACATCTTCCCTTACTTAGTTTATCCTGAAACTAATACATGTCCTCCTACACAAAAGATTCTCCCCATCCATTTTGAACCCTATACCTACTTTCCCCTTTTTTCTCAAGGTCCTGTTCACACTGAAACAAGTTCACATATTTCTGCTAAGCACAATTTCCAGAGCTTCTTTTTCCTTGCTAGCTTTCTAGACCAACTTGCCAGTTTTTAGGATTGGAAAATATTATTGAATCATGGTAGCATGCTAAAAGTATCAGGTAGTGCTAACGACTCTTTGTTTAGAATTGAAAAGTGAAGCTAAGAATTAAGATTGTGTTCAGGAGCAGAGAAATCTAAAGAGATGGGTAAAATTATTACAGTTCAAGACAGAACTTTGTTTTCAGTATTTCCTTGGTTGAAAACAGCAAATCTCTTGCAAATGTGTTGGGCCAATTTTCTTTTCTTGTTTAGCAGTACACATACCAATGATTCTATTGGATTCAGTGTTTCCTGTGCTATTTTGCCAAGTTTGTTAAGGCCTTTCTCGCTAAATGTGGAAGGATTTTAGAACAAATATTAAGGCAACTTTAGCTAAATTCTCATGATAAATTTGGCTGTGATGCCAAAATAAGTTATTCATTGTGGGCTAATTTGTCATCCCCACTCCCTGTTAGTCCTTCCCATAGCTTCAAATTAGATAATTCTCCTGTCACAGGGGAAGCTCATGTGAGAGCTGACTCTCCAGAGCGTATTCCAAGTCTGAAAACAGGCAGGGCTGTCAAGTACGGGACAGATTCCGTGAAGTAGAGAAGACCTTAGATTGCCGAGTGGATCTTGACACAAGAGAATTTGACCCTACATATACAGGTTTCAATTCTGTTTCTGAAATAAATCTGCATGACAGTTTTTGGGTTTTGCCTTGTTCAAACGTGCAATGATTTGGTCGACAGAATAACGCAGTTTAAGTATAGGAACAGCACTTGTTAATGTCAAAACATTGTTTATGTACAATTTAATCTCCTGTGATGGTGTATTTATTTGCTGTATACTTGCTTGAGTTATTTTCATCAAGAAATTCTGTCTATGTGTCGCTTTGGCAACATCTTTGCAGAGTTTACAACTTTGAAAAACATGTTGGCATCAACTATGCAGTCCTTTTAAACAGCTGCTCTGCAGTCATGCTGTTTCAACATGCCACCACACATGGCTGAATTATGCAAATAGTTAATATTAAATGACTGAGATACAAGAACAATTTGTACACTCAATAAAGCTGGTCTGTGGAGTGTAACCTCCGTTCATATAACTGAGTTAGTGTGGGACAATTTAAAGGCAACAACATGATTCGTTTGACTTTGTATCTTGTATTAAAGGCAGCAGTGGACAGAGAGAAGGTATATGGCAGGAATGTTTTAAAAGGCTGAGGGTTTTTTTTTAACTCGTTACTAATAATGCAATGAAAATAGAATGTGCATCAATGTAATTTTCTGGCAAGTATTAAGAAATAGGTAAGATATAACAAATGTTTGTCATTCAGCTATAAATACGAGTTACACTGTTCTGGTTGAGAGATAAGATAGAATGTTAATTACATAGAATGCTAATACGCTAACAGTATGGCTTATTGAAGACAACAGCATTTGTAAAAAGCGAGCAAACAAAAACATTAATAGTTTAAAAAAAAACGTAAAATTGTCTTAAAATTTACTTTGAAAGGCTTTTCTACTGACCTTGCTGTTCTAGTTCTGCAATAATGAATGCTCTAAATAATAATAGTACAATAAATAATAATAATAAATAATGCTTTAAATTCTGTAACTTATTTTATAGTAATTACACCCATTACATGTGGGGGGAGAGAACATTAGGCACTAGGTGATGCAAAATGACAAAAGAAGATGTCCAGTTAAAGTCACAAAATATTATGTTTTTTCCTTTCTCACTCTACTGTACATTTTGAATAATCTGTTTTGTTCAGCTAAGTAGTAAGAAAAGGTTACTTTTTTAATTAATCCAAATTGTTTACAAAGCAAATTACAGAGCATCCAAAAAAGTCTGGATTTCTATATGTTCTTGTTGTTCTTTTCCTATGATGGAACTTTTATTTTTCACAAAATTTCCTTTCTACTCTGATCCCATTTTTGCTGTAGGTCCTCTTAAGGTTTTTCATTGATTGTTCTTTTCTGATCTGGATATAAAGACACATATATATTTATAGTAAAGTATTTATAAGACTTCTGTGCAAGACCTAGTGCTCAAAAGTACAATTTGTCACAGTCATTCAAATTAGATTTGTAAACTCCCTCAGCCTGACAAAACAAATTCAAAAGAATTCTTTTAAATTAAATGGAAGCTTAAGTTAAAAGAGATAGTGGGTTCCTTATTACACAGTAAATGTTCTCTTTTACAGCCTTTAAGCAATACAAAATTTGAGTTGTATAAATCCTATGTGCTTTTTTTATTTTCTTGCTTTTACTAGTGTCAAATTAGTAATCTTATTAATTATTGCAAGTATATGTTCATTCTTGTTAGATTTACTGATCCACTTACACATTTAGTTTGATGAATATAAATTTATTATTAACAAATAAATATTTAATAGGTTCAAATGTAACTTTACTGAATAACTTAGCATTGTTCTTTTGTGGTTTTATAGGAACTAGCCACAATGAAACAGATTCTAATTAGTCTACATGGTAAACGCTATGAACAAAATTTACCTCAGTCTCATATTGATGTAAAAAGTGTGACTGCAAAAAACAAATCAAACCCTTCAGTAAAACTGCTGCCAGAACATGAAGAAGAAAATGTATTTACACCTAAGCCAACGTTATTTGTAAGTACTATGATAAGAGTTAAGTGCCATAAGCTTTTTTGATAATTCTCCTCACTTTTTAAAAAGAAAAATGTGGGTTCCTACATCAAGGAGATGTATAATTAATTCAGCTGAATATCTGCAGCTCTTTATGGGAATCGTCAATGTTGAGGAGATAAATTACAGTTTATGATGTTATTTAGCTATTTGGTAGTTTCTACATCTTAAGTTCACAGCAAACTAGATTTTTTTTTAAAAAAATGCCATTATAATATTACAATATTAATCATAGAATCATTTAGGTTGGAAAAGACCTTTAACATCATCAAGTCCAACCATTAACCTAGCACTGCCAGGTTAAGAGTGGTTAGCAAAATTTTAATAGCCGAAGGGATCCACAGACTATGTATACAATTTTAAGTCTACCCTGATGATGTATGAGTTGAGTGTGTGTATATATATATTGAGGAGCAGGAGTGAAGAAATAAATGTATTTATGTATACTTATATTAATGTATATATGTATATTAACGTGTGTGTGTGTATATATCTAAATATATATTTAAAAATACATGCACAGTATTGATATCACTTCTGTTACTAAGGATACCTGATATTATAAAACTCTGTTTTATTCCTTTAGAAACTACATGCTTGGATTTAAATACTACAAGTGACCTGCTTCAGATTTAGTGCCTCTAGTATTTGAAAGCTTCATGAAAATGGTTTAGAAGTGTCTGACTATGACTGTGTCTGAATAAGACAGAGATAAATAAATAAAGATAAATAAATCTATCAGACTGTGTCTGATAAATTTAAGAGAGCCAAGCTGCAATGCTGAATCACAAAACAAATCATGCCTCTTATTTACACTTCTTGAGGCTACCTTTCTCTAGGGTAGACTAGTTGTATCCACACTGCATAGCATATGTGCTATTTTGGTCCAAATATACATCTATGTAATTTTTTTTCTTTCCTTTTTTTCCTGATGGAGGCTTTAAAATTCAGTGTCTTAAACAATATGAGGTTTATATTGCAGCATATCAGGTACTGGTTTTATAATACAAAATGTAGGAAATGGTTGCATTTCTTGGACATGATGTGAGGACATTTGGTGATTTTAGGGGTTCAAAATTTGCTTGAATAGTGTTATGAGACTAAACACAGGCATACCCAGTGTTGTCTCATCCACAGTCCTTTCGGTAATATGGCCCAAACTTTGTCTTTGATGGAGCTATTCAGTGATCCAAAACACAACCAAAATGTGAGCTAATAATTCGGTTGCATAGATGAGCCAGGGTTTCAGTGTTTAATCTGTCCTGTCTTACTTAGGGATATTGAAATGGTGTAGGAATCTAGAAAAAATGCTTTTACATTTAGAAATTGTGACCAATTTCTCTTTGAAAAATTCTAGACTTTGGAGTAGGGAACCAAAAATGGACAGGTGGCAGGGTTTCTTCTTAGATGGGGAAAAAAGTTAGTAGTCCTGTGAAAATCCTGCCAATTTAGGTCAATTTCTAGAATTTTAAAAGCTTGCACAAATAGAGCAGATTTATTTTTGTAACTGAAATCTTCAAAATGAGAGAAAGATGGAGGTTAAAATGTGATGAGAACCCCCACCATGAGGCCAACTGAATAAAGTCGATTTTTAAATTGAATGATTATTAAGTCTTGGAGGAAAGAACGAATAGAGAGCAGACAGAAAACGGAACTAGAAAGGGACAAGTTTAGGGACAACAGACAAAAAAGACAGTACTCACTAATGCAAGGGATTATACCCAACCCCGAAAGCACAATAGTCCTTACCTTGTTTGACCTCCACTTCTTTAGTTTTATTACTCTAGACAACAAACCACTGAATTTGCCACAAGAATGTTATGCAATCCTGACTGTGTAGCAGTAGCCCATAGGATTATGAAGGCAAGGCAAAGTTGCCCACAGATAATTCTCTGCAATTAAAATACTTTCTACACTGTCATAGAACTGCTGAATTCTTTTATTTTTAATTGTATTTTTAAGAAATATATTTCTGCATAAAGTGTTGGTCAATTACGGCACACCTAAGATCTCTTTTCTGAGTTCCATCCCGTTCTCAAATGGGAAAGTCAGATGATGCTATTTCAAATGAAATCTATTTATGGCACAGTTAATGCAGGTTTTCACTGTGATAGATATTTTAAAACAAATCATTTACTTCTTATTGTATAATCTGATTTTTATAACCCAGAAATAGGGAGGTTTTAATACAGATATGTAGTAATAATAACTTTAAATGCATAGTCTTGTTTTTAATTTATTTGCATTTAAGCAAAGAACTCAATTATCACTGTGAACTACATAGGAAGGAAAGAGACTTTAGTGTAGATTGCATGTTTTTCTTCTGACTTTCACTGTCTCACAATTAAAACATTCTTTATTTTACAGACAAATAAAGAGGCACCTGTATGGTACAAGAAACTCCGGAAGAAAACATCACCATAGCATTTTTCCAAAATTATCCAAAATAATCCTTTGGGGAGCTTTTCTTTGAAGAAAGTTATTTTCACCATAACGATGCCCTTTTTACCATAAAAGCAAACAACTGTTTTGTTCTTAACTGTTCTTTTATATCTGTCAAATGATCTTATGCGTCATAAAATAATTTTTAGATCTGTCATGTGAATAAAATGTGTGGAAATAATGCACGCAATGATTTTACTAACATATACTTGAATTTTAAAAGATAAATAAACACTAGCATATTGTACACATTTATAATCTGGGCAGTTAAATGGCGTGTTATTCAGAGTATTCAAATTAATGCATGTTTCAGCTTTTTTATATTGTTTTTCTTGGACCCTGTGTTTCATGCCACATTCCTTGCAACTATTCTGGCTCATAGAAATTTAAAAAAATATACATGAGTTAGCATCAGATTATATCCTACTTTCTATGAAGGAAATTAATGTCAGGTGGAAAAAAATTAATTTCTTATCAGCCTTGATTTGTATAGTTTGTCATTTGATGTTATTTGTTCTATGAAATAGGCATGAAAAATATTCTAAAGAAGCAATAAAATACATCTTAATTATCAGCACTGATACTTAATGGGCTAGATACACTTGCTCTAGTGTAGTTACGTCAGTGTAATAATAAAAATAGAACTATGATGTGTAAGTACTGTAGCATGTAATGGTGAAATGGATAACTTGCCATATTTAATTGTATGAAAATAAGCCACATCTTCCAAGAACAGAGTCTACTTATTTATTCCACTTGACCATCTATTTAGACTATAGAAAAGGTCTCTAATATTTTAAAGCACTTTTGAGTGCATATGGTACATTTCTATATATAACATAAATATAGATGATATTGTTTAAGTGACTATACTGAAAATATTGCTCAGATTTCATTTAAGAGGAAGCTCCTTTTTCTCACCTCCTTTTTCTTTGACAATATCTCTTCAACTGATTCCTTGTTCCTACCTGGACATGAACAATAATTATTTACTATATAATACTGAGCTATATCAAGCTTATGATTCCTAGATACACTTTTCTTCATTTTCCAAACAGCAGGCTGAAGCACAGCAATACTTCCTCTGCTCCAGGTAAGCTTCAGTTTCTTTATTTTTTTTTAATAATTCTCAGAGAGTGAGGTAAAAATGCTAGCAATTGCACATCACAGGATTAAAATTATCATTTTGTGAGTGAGGGAGGCCAAGTGTGTAGACAGAGGTAATATCTTTTATTAGACTAACTGGTGTTCACTGGGGAAAAAAATACACAAACCTTTGGGCTCACAAACCTATCTGTACAGACATTCCTGAATAAACTTTGGTTTCCTGAAGTCTAGGGTTTTATCTAACTTGTATTTTTATGTGAATAGAATCATTAACACGTCTTTCATGTGAAACAGCTCCCATATGCAGATACTAATTTTGTAGTTTGCAATAGATATTTTACATGATTCACAGTCCCTGGTTTAACTTACCAGAATATCCTGCTTGTCTGTTATCACCCACTAATTGATAAATTGTATTATCTAGAAGGACTGTGAGCTATTTTAGGCAAGATACTAGTTGGAATCTTAATGTTCACAGTTTGTTCTCCAATAGTATCCTTATAGACAAATTGTGAGATATGGACTATAAGGTGGGTGGAAAATTGGCTGACAGACCAAGCTCAAGGAAATGTGATCAGCAATGCAAAGTCCAACTGGCAACTGGTGAATAGTATCATCCCTTGGCAAGTTCATAGGCAATACCAAATTTGGGGGAGTAGTCTGTACACTGGGGGGGCAGGGTCTCAGAGGGACCTCAACAGGCTGGAAATTGGGTCAACAAGAACCTTATGAAGTTCAACAAAAGCAATTGCAGCCCCACATCTAGGATGGAATAACCCCCTATGCCAGTACTGTCTGGAAAGCAGCTTGGCAGAAACAGACCTCAAGGTCCTAGTGGACAACAGATTGAACATGAGTCAGCAATGTGCCAGCCACCTGCATCCTGGGTGGTACTAATAACAGGATAGCCAGCAGATGGAGGGAAGCGATCCTTCCATTCTATGTGGTGCATGGGAGACCACATGTGGAGCGCTGCATCCAGTTTTGGGCTTGTTCAAGACAGACATTGACATACTGAAGTGAGTCCAGCAGAGATTCACCAAGATGATCAGGGCTGAACACCTGATGCAGAAGGGGAGGCTGAAAGAACTGGACTTGTTTAGCCTTAAGAATAGAGGGCTTAAGGGGGAACTTGTTACAGCCTCCATCTACCTAACGGGATGGTACAGAGACAACAGAGCCAGACTCCTCTCAGAGGAGCACAGCGATAGAGTAAGAAACATTGGACACAAGATGGAGCACTAGAAAACTCAGTAAGCTATTATGAAAAATGTTTCTACTGTGAGGGTGGTCAAATACTGGAATAGGTCGCCCAGAGAGGTGGTGGAATCGTCATCCTTGGAGATATTCAGAACTCAACTGGACAAAGTCCTGAGCAACTTGGTATAATTGGACCTGACTTTGAGATGGACTAGATGACTGATTTTCAGAATTCCTGTCCAACCTAAAAGACTCTATGGTAATATTTCTAAATATACTAATATAAGATAGTGACATTAATTTACTTCTTACCATCCAAAAGACAAAAAGTGTTTAATTCTTCCATGGAAATAAAATACACAAGAACATTTTGATGCTTCCACAATGAATTGTGCATTGTAAATTTCTGTGTCCTCCAGGCAGCCTGACTTTCTAGGAAGGATGACAGAAAATTAGGCTGATTTGTGGTGAAATTTTATTGACATTTAAACAGTTTTTCAGATGACAAAGTGATATATTCTGGCAAGCTTTTTTTTTTTTGAAAATTACTGACAAGGTCCATCTTTAAATTTGCAAAAATAAAAGTAATTTGTTAGCATATACTGATAACACATAATGCTGTTGGTAAATCCATGCAGTCCCTGTGCCAGTCTCTTCAGTATGTAATTTTTTTTTTCCAGTTGAAGACTTTGTATTTTCCTGTGTCTCCTCACTAGACTCCAAGGCTATAATTAATTATCTAGGAGGAGGCCTTCTGAGCTTTTCATGTGAAAGCTAGAATGTCACTTAAATATAACTATTCAAATGTGAAATACCCTACAGCAAAAATTAATGAACCTTTTTGCTCTTTAAGTAATGAAAAGGTTCAGTTGCATTACCTGTACAGAATTTTTACTGATGTTATTTCCCACAAACATAGTTGTCAAATGAATTATTCCAAAATTCTTCTTCATGAAATGGCCTCTGCAGTTTCCCATTGTAGTAGGCCTTGTGTCAATGATGTGTGAGTCAAATATAATGAAGTAAAGAGAAATTTCTAAGAGTAGTCATGCGTGTAAGCAACTTGTGACTGAAGTGCCCAACCCACATAATCATCCTCAGTTCCTCTTTTTCAAACCAAAGGGAGCAAAGAGAGAAAAATCTCTATCCACTATTACATTTCATAGTACATTAAGTTGGTGTTACTTAAGTGATAAGTTTCATAAGTATATGGGCTGAACAGGAAAGAAGGAAGGACAGTTGGTTTAGAGCAGCTTAGGATTTTTTTTTTTTTAACAGTATAATTGCTTTCTCCCCTTTCTGTCCCTTGCCAGAAGCAAAGAAACTCTAAAGCATCAAGGAAATCTCTTGTTTGAGGAAAAAATTGAAAACATGAAATAGCTTTTTTTAATAAGAACCTAAACTTTTAAGGCTTGTTGCTGAATCATGTGGTCATACTTCACTGGCATTGTAGTTTGTAAATATTTTCTGTGCAAAGAAACAGTATGTCATCGGGATTTGTCGTCTTCCTCCCCTTCAAGACTTTCTTTACCAAAACAGTGATGAAACCTTGTAAAAGAGGAACAACTGTAAATTCAAATATTAGTTGTCTGAATATTTGTCCATATCTCTGGGACACGATTTGCTACCTCCTACACTTTAGCTGTTATTTTCTGTTTCAGTTATCCTTTTGTATGATATCTAGTTCCAGCAAAAAAGGAACACTAACTCTACTAAACCTCTGACATCTGCAAGATGGTCAGGGAGAATTCTTTTGCTCCCGGTGTGCATTCATCAACTTCCATGTCTTTGGAAGACATGACTTGGCAAGCATGACTTTCTAGAAAAAAATTATTACTTTTTGAAGAAGTGTTTATGTTATTATGTATATGCCTCAATCAATTGTCAGTCTGTTGCATGTTTACATGAAAACAGATTTATACAGAACGGTTTGAGTCTGTAGCAGCCTGTCATCTTTCAGGGTTGCTCTCATTAGGAAGGTCTACTGAGGAAAGGATTTATCTCCCTGTTAACATTACATTTAATAGAACACATGCCAGACTTTTCAGTGAGTCAAAGAAATGTATCCCTGGTATTTTCTTATACCAAAGAATATCGAGAATCTGTATTCATTCTCGACCTTTGAAAATGAAACAAGTATCTCTAGAAGATCAAGTTTTGCTTAGTGTCTTTGGGCAATAATATCCCCTTCTTAAATTCCTAGGATTGATTGGGAACTCTTGACCTTTAAAACGCATACTTCCATAGTTTAATTAAGGCAGTTACACTTAGGGTATTTCAGACTGAAGCTGGGCAGCAATCAGCAGCAGTGCAAGGTGCTAACTCTTGGGGGACAGCATCGCTAGTGGAAATGGACAGCAGTTGGGAATTATGGAAGAGTGAGTGGCAGGTATTGCAGAAGCTTTTAGCAGTAGGAGAAGCAGGTACGGCTCCACAGATGTTAGACCCTCTGCAGCTCTTTAAGCCCTCTGCTGACAGCACAAGAACCACCAGCTTCGTTCCACAGAGTTCATTTTGCAGAGTGCCCTGGGCGTCTTTCCTCACTGATAAGTTTTCCATAGCAGTAAATACCCGTATTTTTATTTTCTGTTTTTTTTTTTTTTTTGAGAGAGAGAGAGAGGGAGACTCCTTTTTCTCAGGACACTGGAACTGGGTTTAAAAAATGGTGAATTTTA